TGTGAGGCGCTGGCGTGAGGCCTGTAAACATGATGGGAAGGGAGGCTGCCCCCAGGGAGTGCCAGAGGCGTGAGGGAGCCCGGGCGCTTTCGGGCGCTGTGAGCTCCGCTCCTGGGCAGGAACGGGAGCAGGCCCCAAAGGCTACAAGTGCGTTTTGCTTCTTCAGCAAGAGGCCCGTGCACCAAAGCTGCAAGTCACACAGCTACAGGACCAGCCACCACCAGAGCTCGGCCTGCAGGTGAGGAAGCCCACAGCGAAGCGGCAGGAAGTGCCAAGGTGTGTCATGCTGGCCTGGTAATTCAGGCCAGTCTGGAATTAGATTCCTGGGGTTTTTAATCCAGAGATGTGCCTTTGTATGGCTCAGGAGGGGCCTTGACCTCGCAGAGATCGGTAGCTGTGCCCGTACCCTCCACAGCCCAAATCCACAGTTTCAGTCAGCACTTGCAATTGTCTAACCCCCAAACAGCCTGAGTAATTTTGCTATCGGTTGCACAGATACTGACTACACGAAGTCTGCAAGACTATGATCGCTTGTTAGCTGATCTCCAGTTTTAGGTGGTGACACAGCACAAGAAGTGTGCTGACTTTTTTTATTTTTCTACAAAAATATTTGTTCTTACTGATATTTGAATTCTAGGATCAAACAATGCAGTGTTTTGGTGTAGAATATGTAAGTTACTTGGGACTTCTTTTCCCAGTTAAGGCTTTTCAATACATACACAATAACAAAAGGCAGTGTGCTAGGTATTGCACCTCTGTTAAAAGTAATTGTAGTTTAGCGTAGATTCAACCCAAAATATCAAGATGATTACTTAATTAAACTAAGGTGATTTTTTTTTGTTTTAACCATAGACTTCGTTGACACAAGTATCTCATTAACATGCATTTGTCTTTCAAATGGGGAGGGTTGTATTAGCACTGAAGAACACAGACCCTTACGATCAAAGGAAAGATGACACAGAAATCAGAAGAGTTAACTTAAAAATACCAGCCTGTACTGCTTTTGATAATTACAGTCTAATTAGTTGTCCTAAAGATGCTTACAGAGTAGGATCCACCTACTTTGAGGATCTCTTTGGTGGGATTCAAGCACAAGTGAAAAAATGGAAACCAGTGGAAGGAACATCACCACTGCAAACTGTGTTGGTGACATTGCGGGGGTGTTCATGCAACAGAAGAGCTGCCCGCAGAGGTGTGGAACCCAACCCCCCTGGGACTGTGCCCCAAGCAACGTGTTCTGGTCAACTTTGCTTTGAGCCCAGAGGTAAGAGTAGCTGAAATCCAGCAGCACCTTCCAGCCACAACTGTGCTGTGATCTGCCAATTTTTCTTAGAGGACAGACAGTTTTTAGCAGTATTGCTTTGTCCCTTAACATTGACTCAAAAGCTATAGGTTGTTTTCTGCGGGTTTAAACAAAAGGGTTTGGTTAAGAGAAATAAGAATATTTTTTTAAGGTAATTTTCTCCAAAAAATTCTGATTTCATACTTCTTTTGTATAGGCTATTGTGTTATGGTTCCTCAGTTGGATTTGTCCAATTTGTATGCAATTCCCCTGGAAACAAAGTAACCCAGCATGGCTAAAATAGCATGTCTGGGCTGAAGATCTTTTTTTTCAGCTCATAAAATCACAGCTTTTAAATACTTCTGGTCAACAATGTGACTAATATCTGTGGTTATAATTATAAACCCTCTTTAATCTCAACCTAATAAAGGATTCTGGCCTTCAAAGCTTACCCCTGTCAAGTCCCACACATCCCAAAACCCACACAGATGACCTTTGTCTCGCATTCATTCTGCAGCTCATGCATTTAAAACGCCACACCCTATAGCTCATTCTGCGTTATCCTCCAACATGCAGCGTAGCTTACCAGGGCGCAGGAGACAAGCTGGAATGTTACCAGACACAAGTGTGTCATTTAACAGACTTGTGCTCAGAGAAACCCCACTAGAAGAGGGTTTGTAGCTAGCCCAGACGTAGCGTGGTGCTAAAGCAGCCCCTACCCCAGTAAAGCTCTTGGGCAGCCCCTCATAGAACCACCACCTGCCCCGAGGGTCTGGGGAGCTGCAGGGACATCGTCCCCTGAACCCAGTGTACAAACACCTGTTCCATCCCAAAGTGACAACAACTCCGCTTACCTTGATTTTTAAGCTCATGAAACCTCATCATGTGAAAAGCATGAGATGGCATGAGGTTACCTAATAAAATGGACAGGACAAACTGTGAGTTATTTAAAAAAAAAATAGTCAAAAATATTTGAATACGTTATGCTTTCATATTTGTCTCTTTTTCATTGAAATTTTTGGTACCTCGTAAGTTTAAACATCTCTCGTAAGTTATTTTTTGATCTCCTTGATGTACACACAGTTCAACTGCCACTCAGAGACAGCTGCTTGACAGTTCAAAGATGTTATTACAGTCAGTTGTGAGGAAAAATTATCTTTTACTGACAACTGGTATTTTTAAGACTTTTGAGATGAGAAAAAGAATTAATTCTTTAGTCTCCAAGTTGGCACAATCGATTCATCAGGTCTCATGCTGTGGCAAAAATTACAGGTATTTTATCTCTGATGTATTGTACTGCCATGTATGAATAGTGAAAAGTAGCTATCAAAATCCAAATTCAGTGTTTCGTTGTAATTGAAAAATCAGCACATTCTCAGTAAGTGCAAGTGAGCTCCTACATTTTTCTCCTCCCTCTCAGAAACAACCAAACTGAACGTAGAAATTCAGCAGCTGTTTGGAAAGATGAATGAGGTTTTCCACTTGCTGCTACATAAGGTGGAAATACAAATCATCCAAGTACCCTTAATAACAAAAGATCTTATTGGACAAAGTTGACAAGTTAATAAAATGGGCTTCTATTTAAGTGTAATTTTTTTTCACGGGTTAATGTGGAGCATCAGTTAGAATCTGAGATAAAACAGGTAAGCCAAGGTGCCCGTGATCAAGAGCTCAAACAGCAGAGAAACTTGCAATTTTTTTTCCTTCCTTCCCATCTGCAGCGATGAGGTGATTCCAGTATAACCACTGAGCTTTTTGCCACCTATTTTATAGGTTTTGAATGGCATAAAATTTTGCACATTTCAGTGCACAACATTTTTGGATTGCACGGTTTAACTGCTGTTCCTCTGTTAGCCCAAACCAATATACATAGTTTTAGTGCAAAAGACATAGTTTTAAGATGGCTTAAGACTTGCAAATGCTTTGGAAGGCAAAAATCAGAATTAAAAACTGCCTTCAAAATGCAGATAAATGTTAGGAAATAAGTAGAATACAATTCCAGTAAGACCAGCTGCAGTTTTGTAGAAATAACCAACTGCCTTAATACAAGATTGGAAATAAATAGCCCGTGTGGTAAGTAGGGTTTGGGAAGTTCTCTTCTCCCCTAGAAGACCTGGTCCAGCAGTGGACACCAGGATCAAATATGAATCAGAACAGAACAAACACAGAGGCCAGCAGTACATGATTAGAAAACATGGAAAAACTATGAGAAAGGACTTAGAAAAATCTCTGTTTGTTTCATCCAAGGGTGAGAGCAGCAACGTGACAATGCGACCTGTCCCAGCATCCATGGGACAAGGACAAAGAGCTGTGGACTTGAGCAGCAGCAAGGAAGTTGTTGGTTTTTTTAAGTATAAGGTAAGTTCTGACAGTCTGAAAAGTTGATATAATAAGAGAGATGGAATAGAGAGGTTATGGAATCTCTGTCATATAATGCTATAAAACCCAAAAGGGATGAAAGAGCTGATTGCACCGACTGCTGCAGCAGATCTCTCTAGCCAGGAGCCTCCAGCCCAGGCTTGGGACCTTTGAGCATATTTTGACAGGTTCTTGTACTTTTGACCAGAACAAAGCACAGCACTCCAAATACCTACTCGAGATCGTATCTTGCTGTTTGAGGCATTAGTATGATGAAGAGAAAAATGTTTTCCTGTTTGCTGCTGCTGCTGCTGTAACAGTTGGAAAATTAGTTCTACCTGAAGGTGTTTCCCTGTGTGGTTACATGTTCTGCTGTCAGACTTTATGATGTGTAGTATTGTGTTCTCCTCCCTTTGTCATGGCTTGAGCCATCCAGAGTTACATGCAAGGAAGATTCCCCCAAACACCCGTTTGAAACAAAAAATGCTAATGCTCTGGCTTCTCAGGTGTGGTCAGCTTCTGTCTAGTTTCATAGAAGAGCTAAGGCTTACCTAACTGTTACTCTACATCATTTTTCCTTCTAAAAACTTGTATTCTGGAACAAGATTTTCACTAATTCCATCAAGTGGCAAAAAGGGTATTAGCAAATTAAAATAAATATTTTTAAAAAGAGATATATGTGGCCAAGTACAAAAAACACTGCTCTCTTGGAGCAGTGCAGCTCCTTGACACAAAAAAATCTGTATGTTGGAAGCACCAAGTATCTTGAAGACATAAAAATAGAAGACTTTTCACAAGCTGAATAACTAAAAAGCTGTCTGTAGTGAAAAATACTTTGGAAATTAATAGGCGTAATTACTTATAAATTTCATTAAATGTCAGTTCTGGCTTGGTTTTAAACACTAGCTTGCCTCAGTTTTGCAAAAAGCTTTTGCAGATTACAGCACTACCCACTCTACAGACTGTATGCCCTAGAAAAAGCAGGTCCAAAAGGTAAATCACAGTATAAGTTTGTTGACAAATGAGTTTGTAAAAAGAACAGTTTACACCAGAAGGATCAAAGTCAGAGCCTTTATTAAATGTTCCTTCTTTAAACAGACTGCATTTAATCCCCCTTTCGCGTTTGTGATTTCTAAGGCTATTTTAAATACTTCGTTTTACAGGGAGTTTCAGTCTTCAGAACCGTCACAAGCAGCAAGTTAGCAGTACACAAAAACAATACGCTTTAACTTTCACCGAGTCCCATTTCTGCTTCCCAGGGTGCGTGGAAAAGACCACCAGTACTTCCACCACTGGAGTTTTTGCACAGACCCTGGAAAGGAAATAGGTGTCACAGGAGTTTAAGCCTGATGTGCTCTAGCCACATCTCACAATTGGCCACGATTCACCAGTACTGATTAGTAAGTCTGTTTCTTGCACAGTACCTGTTTCAAAAAGGGGACCAAATTTTCAATTTTCAGCTATTGTGGGTCTAATTAAGGCTATTCTGGTATACTTGATACTAAAATACTCTCTGGGAGTCCTTTTCATGAAATCCCATCAGAATTAACATTTTCAAAAATGAAAACATTTAAAATAGGTGGTTTGAGTTGAAATGCTGATGCAGCGGTTGGTTCAGTGTTTTCTTGTCTTCTGGAGTTTTATTATCACGTCAGTATAGTGTCGTCTATCTGTTCCTCTGAGTCAGCCTGGCTAGCCAGCTTCTTCAGAGATCTCCTGCAGCTCTCATTGAGAAGCTCCAAGCTGGCAGCATCTAGAATCTTGGAAACTGACTGTGGAGGGAAGACAACACCAATTACCAATTCCTCATAACACACCTTTCAAAATAAGAGTAAGTGTAAGAGCCTCGCAAGTTGTATTTATCTAAAATCTTCCAAACGTACTGAAATCCTTCATCTGGCTTTATCACCCCAGACATGGGAACCACGCAGAAGCAGGTACGACTTAGAAAAAAGGTCTAGAAATGGATGTACGAAGAGGTCCATCCTAAAATACCCTCTCGAGCACCACTGGTGCTGCAGGAGGATTACCCAAGTGACAATAAACCGGCAGTCCTAGCTGTGGTGACTACAGTGCAGTAAAGGCTGCAGGTGTGTAGAAAGCAAGGGTGCTATGTTGAACACACGTTAAATACCCTGGGTTAATACTGCACCATAGGGTTGTATGGTATCAGAATTGCTCAATACTTCGAGGTTAGCATGACAACACTGATGAGGGCTTAACTGCAGTCAGGAACGTCCCACTCCTGGCTGCCAGCACGTTCCGAGACCTCAGGCACAACACTTAACCACGCGCAGCGCCACGCGGCCCAGCCTTCCACCAGTGGTTATGTTTTCCTCTGTCTCGTACCTCAAGCACTTCGTCACCCACTCGCATCTTCAGAAGATTGACAATAGCTTGGTCACTGTAGGCTCTTACGCTGGTGTTTTTGTCCTTTGTGTTGTCCAGGAGTGCTTTGAGAATTGGTTTAATTGTCTGAGGATCCAGTGAGGGAAGATGGTTTTTATTTGCCCACCAGATCATCTTTTCTGCAACTAACTTTATGTCGCTGGATGAGTTCTGAAGACACTGAAGGAGACAAAGATGGACTTAAATTCAGATATACCAAGGACAGGTATTTAAAGCATTAGTTTATATATTTTTTTCTTTTTTCTAATTTACGTATTTCAAACTATAGCAAGAAAACAGTTTTCAACTCACAGGTACACAATAGACAAACTTGCTACCAACAAGTTTGACTAAACTGTGTAACAGTAAGAGAAGATCAGTCCTTGAAAACAAGACAGCTTTCCATAACAACATTCAAAATATGTGGTTGATGACAGACTCTAGCACCATCTCTCACACTGTCTTCCCCTATCTTTTCTAAGATGTTAAAAACAACCTGAGGTTCTGATGTTCAAAATTCAGATCCTCTCTACCATGAGGGATACCTTGATGGGGAGGGAGAAGAAAAAACAGAAAGAAACCCCCAACAAACAACAACAAAAAACCCACGTGAAAAAAAGAGAACAACCGAGGAAGAAAGGAATTTTGAGATACAGTATATAAATAGAAATTAAATGCAAAACTTCTATACGTTAACTTCTGTGATTCTATGATTCAGTAATCTCTTTTATCTCAGTCTTTCGGATCTACTCCCACAATAGAGGAAGTCAAAAAGTACAGCAGCAAAACCAAGTAAGGTGAGCATTGGTATTTGGCGCATTTCTAACAAAGGTCCTTTGACCTTCAGCAACCTTAAAAAAACTGACAGCTCCCCCCACTCTTCTTTGCTTCTCTGCCAGCTGACTGCTACTGCAAAGGAAAAAAATAATTCATAAGAATCAAAAAGTTTACCACAGAAAGATAAGAGTCAAATTTCCAAATTACATCAGGGATAGTGGGATTGTATTCACAACCACAAAGCAGGCTGATAAAGGGATTCTCTCTGTACTTTGCCACAAAAAGAAATACCTAGATTTTCAGGGGTCAGGGGACTTAGAGCTTCCCAAGATAAGGCAACCGAGCTTTCAGTTTTCATGCTGGCTTACCACTCAGCAATTTGATAAGAGAAAGCCACCCGGGTGTTAGCTCAAACAGAGATTCAGCTCACATAAGAACTCTGCCACGTAGTTACTGTGAAAATTCTTACCTTAATGAAGAGGCTGGAAAGTTTTGGAGGCAGGTTCCCTCCTCCTTCCATGTGGTATTTCATAAGAAAGCCCATCCCTCTGATGCCACTAACTGCAATGGGAATCTTCAACATAAAGTCAAAAATCAGTATTACTAGAGAGAGTATAACTAGGCTCACGGTTTGGTAAGCTCTTGAGGGAGGCTAAACCGATCTTTCAAAAAAAACCTGTAGCATGCAAAGCAGGAAAACTTCAAGTTCATGTTACTGGGTTATCCAATGAAAAAAATCGTAATGTGACCACAAACCACGTGGAATAAGGTGCCCCCAGGTTCCCT